GGGGGGGGGTTGGGCTTTTGGGATTAAGGCTTTACAGGCTTTTTAACAAAGGTCTGGTAGACAATTTTGTGGTAGTTATACAGCATCGACAAGGCTTCCTTGGGTTTGGGGGTGAACCCTACACCCTGAAACCCCTAGACCCCGAAAGGGTGTTGGGATTCCGGTAGGGTTAGGGTTTAGATAAGCTCGTCCTCCCTTTTCCCTTTTTCTAAGGTTTCCGATAGGTGCCTGCAGGGTTCTAGTTATGAGGGTTCTTATAGAATGTCAATACCGTTTGTAGGCCTTTAGCAAGTAGGCAGTTGCATGAGTCTTAGAAATTCAGCTCTGGGGGTCCAGAGGGCTCAATAATTCAGGTACTGGGGTTTAAGATAGTTTAACATGGTATTAGTAGTTATTTGGGAGTGCCTAAAGGGCTGTGATTGAGAGATCTATGCATCATACTACAGTGTTGCTACAGCGGGCGCATGTCGCCATCTTGTATCATCCAGAATTTGTGATGCCACGTGGCAATGATCCTCCCCCTCCCCCTCCTCCCACCAACAAAGACGCACACAGACACACGTACAACCCCAGTCAAGTAAATCATGCCTCTTTACTTGGCGTTCTTCTGGTTGGNNAACTTTTTGGGTTTCTATATAACTATTATAAGTTATAAGGAGACTAAAAGTTTAACTTTTTGGAGGGGTTCAGAAGTCAGCCAAGTTTAGTAGAGGCCTTAGAGATGCCGAGGAAGAAGGGCCGGCCATGTTCGAGCTCACCGCGTGAAGCTGCGCACCCTCACCTTTGCTCTTTCTATCGGAGAATCCCTAAATCCACAGTCAGGCTCTAGGGTTTGTAGTTTAAGGCTTTGGCGTATGGACTTGTCTAGCCAGTACCAGCTGTAGTTAGTGGCACTCATAGCTGTGTAGGCTGCTACGCTAGAAAGATAGACGTTCAGTTCAGGTTCAAGTTTCGATTTAGGTTGAGCGCTGTTGGGTGTACGGCCTTTTCTGTTCGTGTCTCGATGTCTCAGAGCTAAAGAAGCGACGTGATGCAGCATGCAAATGGCGAAAAGAGGCTATGCATGCGTTTAGGGAACAGGGTCGAAGCTGGGGGTATGTGTCAGGGGACTAAAGGAGGGACCCTTAAAGGGACCCTTCGGGTTTATCTAGGGGCTTTACGAGACTCTATAGGGGGGGATATAAGGGTTATATAGGGTATTTGGACTATAGGGGTCCCTTCAATGTGGGCCTTGTCTCAGTGCAGGGTATGGATTGATCAGAGGGCGGGACCTTTTTCACTGAGTCATGGAATCCTGAACTCTAGAAGCCTACAGCCCTGAACTCCAAGACCCTAGACCCTGAACCCTAAGCCCGAATCCTAACGTCTTAAGTCCAAGGTCCTGTGCCCTAAAAGTCCTTCATCCGCAACCCTAAACCCCAAAAGCCCTCAACCCTAAACCCCAAAAATCCAGCCCTAAATCTTACATCCGAAACCCCACCACCCTAAACCCTAAACCTTTCAGTAGAAAGGGGCCCAGGAGGAGTAGACGAAGCTACTCATCCCCACGGGGATCTCGGGCAGGTTTGGAGCGGAGGGGGGGAAATCCTTAGAGAGTTTAGGGCTTCAGGGTTTAAAGTTTAGGATTCAAAGTTGAGGATGTTTAGGGCGTTGGGGTGTATAGGATTTAAAATTTACAGGGCTTTGAGGCTGTAAAGTTTAGGTTTTCGTTGAGTCTGACGGGCTTGTGTAGGGCTTGACAGGCTTTTGGAGACTACCTGTAGTCTCCATTGCAGTTCCTTTTTTTGGTTTAACCAATTCTATATAAAGGATTTTATAAGGTAACCCCCAAAAAGGAATTACAATGGAGACTACAGGTAGGGCTACGATTTCGAGAAGGTTCGATTTTAGGGTTCGGGGTTGCGGGGTTCCAGGTTTCGGGTTTGGGAGAAGGGCCGAGGGCTTTTTCGGGTTTGGCGGGTTTAGGGTTTAGGCTTTAGGGTTTAGGGTTTAGGCTTTAGGGTTTAGGCTTTAGGGTTTAGGGTTTAAGCCTTAGGTCTAGGACATGTTCAGGTGGGTAGTTACCGTTATAGTAGCCTTATTATAGAAGGTTTAAGCCCTATAAATACCCTAAACTCCACACCTGTACTTGCCTCTAATTAGGGTTTGGGAAGTTGCATATCGTCCAAGTTGTGGCTTGGCAGATCCATGGGG